AAGACCCAGTTAAACCATAAGAGTTCAGATAAATAAAAAAGCCATCATGTTATTTCATAAATCGTTGAATTCCAGGAATCTTTGACTTCCCTTGTTGCCTTTCCTTTTAAAAAAATAGCTTTTCTCTCAAAAGACAGAAAGAAAATAAATTTTGGCGTCAAAACTCTTGGTATGAGTTTCTCGCTTCTCTATTCTAAAGAGAAAGATTTTGACTTTGACTTGACTTCATCTTTTGGAATGAGTCAAATTCCAGCAGCTTAAGATAACAAAAGCAGAAAAAGACAGCAAAAGTGGGTACAAAATATAACAGAAACTCTACATGGATCTTAACTTATCAAAAAAAATAAACCAAGATTAAAACGCCTAACAAAATATAGAAGTGAAAGTAACCAGTGACATTATTGTACTGTGGGTACAGACAGATCCATCACCTCACCCCGAGGGCTTTTGTCATTTTTATCATTATTAACCATAAACATTAATTTAACCATAAAAATCACCAAGAAGATTAATAATCTCTGTTTAAAAGAGACATGGCAAGCTAGAAATAAAAAAATAAAACAGTCACAAAACATTATATGTAAAACTTTATACTATAGATACCAGACTATTAAAAAAAGTGAACACAATTTGTTAAGTGTGTCATGAGACAGAATTAGTAAAATGACAGTTTAAAAAGGTAATCTCTGAAAAAAACACCAGTCTAGCTTTAAACTCCCTCACAGATATCAAGCTGCAAGGCATTTACAATGCTACCCATGTCGTGGGGTTTAGGTAACGAGAAAACCTTTTTTCCAAGTTCAATTAACACAAAGAGTATTGGTTGATGCTCTTTTGTGTTATCATTTCACACAAGGAGATTTGAAAAGGACCAAGAATTACCTTGAATATAAAAATGAACGGATAATGGCGCCCGTTGAAGGCCATCCTATCCCAGAATAAAACTTTCCATGATGGGTTACGATGGGTACCAACTCATAAGATCATGCAACTCAATAAATGACTATGTCATCAGTATAAAATACAGAATTGCACCACATTTTGACACAGGTTATTTATACAGTAAATAAAAGAGGACCTAAAATAGACCCCTCGGGGGTGCACCCTTTGAACTGACATAAACTCATCTGAGAGCCATGCGACTATTTGCTCTGAGAGTCTCAAACTTAAAAGCCTTCACCTTAAAGTGTTACAGCCAACTGTACTGAAAGCTTTAGACAAGTCTATAAAAAACGATTCAACATTCTGTTTCTTATCAAGTGTGGCTAAAAGATCATTTACATATTTTAAAGTAGCTGTAATAAATACTCTATTTATAAAGCACTTAAAAATGGCCAAAGCTTAGAGAAAGTGCTAAACAAAGCTGCAAAACTATAAACATTACATTAAAAGTTAATAATACAAAAAACGATAAAATTTTTTTTAAAAAGGTAAAATAAAGTCTCATGTTAATAAGGAATGGAAATAGGTTTTAAGCTGAGTTTTAATAGTAGTAAAGTAGTAGTAAAGTGAAAACTGTCTCTGATGTGCAGCAGTAGAGAAGACCCGACCCTCTGAGTGTAACATGGGACCTGAAAGAGCCGCTGTTCAGCCAACATGAAGACTGGAGTGGGGATGAAGAGGCTCAGAGAGGTACACCGAGGCATGGTTACTCAAACACTTAAAACAAAAATAAGAATCCTAAAATGAACTGTACAATGCATCAGCAGAAATTAGAGTCTGGGGGAAAACACGGGTGCTGAGTTCTTTTTTGGATCACGGTTAAAAGATGAGAGAAAGCTGCAGACCAGAGAACAAAGACTGAATCACTCCAACAGCAATCTAAGTGAGAAGAGACAAAAACACAAATCACCATTTCAGAATGTTTCCCAGACATAAATGATTTAAGTTTCAGAAACACCAAAGAGTCCGGCCTAAATCTCACTAATCTGAATAGATTGAAAACATATCAATACTTTGGTTTGTCATACATTGAAAAAGAGAGCCTGGAGTTTAGTTAAAAGGCTTTGAGCAGTTAGTATCAGTGAAGAAGAGGAAGCTTTTCATGATTAACTGGCGCATTCGTGGTAGGCCCGTCTCAAATAACCTGAAATATTCCTTTACAGTTGTTGTTCTTTACTAAATTAACAATAATAATAATTTACTGACAACAGTTCAGTCAATACTTCATGGTCACTTAATCAAGTATGTCTGTTCCAATAACAAAAAGCAAACCAGTCACTCACTTTTCAGCATTTCGATTTCAGTTTGATGAAAATGGCTAAGGTTAAAATCGAGCATGAAGGAAGTGGATTTAAGTGACCGTGTTTGTGACATGGCTGCTGGTTCTAGATTACGGAAATTACTACTTCATCATCTGCTGATCTGGTGGTGATTCACTAAACACACTTCTTTAAGGGTTACATGGGATACCCAAAAATTCTGAATATATCGACTGAGCAGTAAATTAAATTTGTTAAAGCTAAGGGGAGAGTGGATAGACCAGTGTAAAATGTAATAGGGGCTCAGATAAATTAAAACCAGGGCATCTCAAACTAGTTTCTTGAACATGACAATGATTTTACCATTCTCTAATGTTCTCCAGTGTCGCTCTTTAATGAAGTGAACCAGCGGCTGGACCTGTGAAGGATCAAAGCCAGCTTAGGGATGTTTCCCATAATAACACAACAACAAGAATCTGACCAACTAAAACCTAATATTTTGGCATTCAAGAAAACATGTTGGGCTAAACATAATAGGACTGAGCATAAAGCTTCTGCTTTGTTTGATCACTAAATATCTAATGCGAAATGCAAAACTGTTTCACAACTTCATCCTGTAGCTTAATTTTGCGACTTAAACAAAAAATGCTGAGGAAAAAGCTGAACTCAGGGAAAAAAACAAAACATTTGGTGATTGATGAGAATGTCCCATTCTCAGAAGTTTCAGTTCCCTTTGAATTAAAAATCTAAAAAAAAAAAAAAAACTCTGCTTAACGATGTTTAGCCTCATATTGTATGACTGTCTGCATTTGATTTTAGTGCAAATTTGCTCTAATATCTAATATCTAAAACTGCCCTAATATTTTCAAGTGTATTTTTATACATTGTTTTACTCATTTTTATTTCCTTTTCCAAATTATGTGAGATCCATGACTTCCTTCAAACAGAACTGTAAATTCTGGCTGTTATACTGTCTGTATTTTCAGATTTTACTTTTTGTCTTATCTGCAGTTCTGCATAATTGGTCTTCATTTACAACATTAATAAAATGTTAATTACACTTATATTTGCCAGATCCTCCTTCAATCAGCATTGCTGTTTTTCTGAGTGATCTCTGTTGCATCTGGTTCACTTTTGATTTCTGCCTCCTCAGATGACGAGAATAAAACGGAGCTGCGTAAGTGCAAAAAGAAACAGACCACAGACCTGTTCAGTGGCCTTTCTGTGTATTTACATTTTTAATATTGTTTTACCTTGTTTGCAAAAGTTACACAAATGTGTCTCTTTTCACACTTTGTAACTTTAAAGCTATAACCACAGTGTATTCTATGTTATAGACAGAAAGTAGTGCCTAATTTGTTTAGTAGACGGAAAATGTTATATGCATTTTCTCTCTTTTGTAGCTAATAACAATCTCAAAATTCCCCTATGTGTTTCTATTTAGCCTCTTTTGCTTTGATAACTCTTAGAAGATTTTTTGTGATCGATTGTTATCAAAATGCACTAGTCTAGTAAATTTAGTACACCAGATTGTAAGCTATTCTTAGTATAAACACCAATGCTCTGTGAAGGCCTCATTGGTGTGTGAGAGAACACTGGTGATGAAACAGCTTCATGAAGACTAGGAAAAACAGCAGACATGTCAGGGAGAAAGCTGCAAAAACATTTGAATTACAACTAGGTAATAAAACAACAACTCAATATTTGAAGCCTTGTATCGCATCACTCCTGTAGGGATCATATGTAAATCTATTGTTTCAGCCTCCCAAAATGAATGCACCTGTAGGGAAATGAAGAGTATCACACTACTGCCAGACATGGCCGACAAACAACAACATGAAACCATCATTATTTGGGATTCTTTTCTCTGCCAGGACAGTAAAAAAAAAAACTCAGTACAGTTCTGTGTTCCTCTGGCCTAGTCAAAGTACAAACATAAATAACATTCTTATACTGACAAAGAATTAAATAGATTTTCACAGTTGCATTCCATCCAATGTGAATGAACTTGAGGAGAAATTGCATAAAATCTGTAATACTCCCTGCATGAATTATAATAAAGCTATTTATATGCATAAATCAAGCGGAACACTATGGCGATAGCCGCACTGCTTCATTTGTGAAAGTAAAATCTGTTGGGCTCTTTTTAGCATCAAGACAATTATTCTTATTGCCACATTGCCAGACAGGACACTGTAAAAAAAAAAAAAAAAAACCCATCCTACAGACTGCCACTCTGGGTCTCTGAGCAAGACCCTTAACCCCACATTGCTCCCAAAGGGGATGGGTTAAATGCAGAGGTAAATTTCCCCAATGTGGGATAAATGAAGTTCAATTATTATTATTTGTTAATTTCAATTCCATTTATCTATATAGCGCCAATTTACAACACAAATCATCTCAAGGCACTTTACAGTTCACCAGATCATACAGTTATTGATAATTGATTCAAAGTTGTCTATCCAAGGAAAACCAGTTGATTGCATTGATTCATTGACTCAAATGCAATCCCTCATACTAAGCATGCTTGTAGCGACAGTAGAGAGGAAAAACATCTGCCTAGGCCAGACAGATAATATAATTATTGAAAAAAGGAAACAACAATATAGCAACAAATAAATAAATAAATTACTGCATAGTAACATGCCACTTTGTTTTTGGTTCATAAAACTCCAAAATATGTCAAACAAACAGAGAAGCGTGAAGTGGTCCTTGTGTGGCACAGCGCAGGATAGCGGTGTCAGAAGCCTTTATTTTGAAAGCCCGAGCCGGATGTTGCGTGTGTGTTGTTCTAACTGCCGGTGCTTTATAGGTCTGAGGAGCGACAGAGCCCGGTGTTAAGCGGCAGCTGCAGCCCACTGCACCGTTCAGAGATGGAGGCAGAGCCGACAGCCGCTCAGCTCCTATAAACCGGACAGGAGGACAGTAGCTGGGGGACACGGTGACCATGACTGATTCTACTGAGTGAACATTTCCACTAGAAAACACCGGGAGCGCCTCTGGGATCCAATGAAAGCAGCCCTGTGTTGAGGTGAGTCCTGCTGCTGCTGCTGCTGCTGCTGCGTTTCGACCTCTTTTGTAGCCAATCTTCCTGACGCGTTTTCTCCTCAGGAGAAAAACGCACTGTAGTTCATGGATGATAATGATAATAATAATGATTAATATTAGAATAATTGCAGAATGGGGAAATGATCTGTTTGTTTGTTGCGGTTTGGAGCCGCTCCATCATAGTCAGCGTCTGCACAAACCTGCGCCAAGATTCGGGTCCGGATGGCACAGAGACAAGTGCGATAGGCTGGATCAGAGGGCGAGGGGAGGAAAAGAGTGCGCATCGGGATTAGCATGGCAGAATACATAAAATAAAAAAAATAATAAATGTAGGGTGGGGGGGATCATTCTGAATAAAAAGAGGGGCTTCTCCTTTAATCCACTTAGGATGCTTAATTAAGGGGCCACAGTGTGGTCAATCGAGGGCCTGCTGGGGTGTTATGTGACGTAAAGGCCCGCTCAGGATGATCCAGAATCATTGTTCAGGCTCAGCCCATTCATCCGGACCTGGATCTGTCAGCCATTCAGCAGGAGGCTGCTGCTGACTCCCATTCATGAAGCCCAGTGCGCAGGCTGCACAACGATCCTCTGTCCGCTTTAAATAGGCCTGCAGCGGCCCTGTTTCAGGCCTGCTATTGACTTTCTCTCATGTGTCTGCAGACAGACAGTTCATATGAAGCCTAATCAGTCTGATTCTCAATATGACTGAGGTCTGATCATTGAGAGGCGCTTAAATAGCCTGATAAGCTTATGCATCACTGGTACACTGACCACGCATGAGGATTGTTGCTCTCTAAAATACTCTGTATGGGTAAAATTTATTTGTATATCATGCATCATCCATGTTGTTAAAAGTAAAACTTCTCAGGCTTTACTTGAGGGTTTGTGCAAGAACACCTTTCTTTAACTTTTAGGTAAATCACCATTAACATCTGGTATTCTGTGATCCTGTCAACCGCCCAAATCAAGTGTATAATCTTTTAGAGTAATATTTTAAGAAGTGTGATTAATCTAAACCAAATGCACCTTATAATGATGAAGTATTATTGTAGATGATACCTGCTGACCCTTCCTACCCACAGTGAGAAGCACGTTATTAAAAACACAGCTTGACCCTAATGTTTTCCAATTTTTATCCAAAGTTTGGAGTTTAAATTACAACTCAACCAAAGTCAATTCCTTTTTTTTTTTTTTTTTTTACCTTGGATGTCTAACGGTGCTGCTTTTGCAAATTCAATGCAAAGTTTTAATTGAAATCCTGTTTTTATCTGATTGGTGTGCTCCTAGTGTATAAACACTATACTGCATCTGATTCTGAATCAGTATAGATGTTACCCTTATTACAAGTCAACCACAAAAACTGACGCCCTGCTGCTGTGGGGTATAAAAACATCTTTGCCTCCCAAGAGCTTCCATAGTGAGTTATAAGTGAGTCTAGAGACAGATTGCAGTTTTTATCAGTTTACTCTCATCTAAGTTCTTATTTAAAACCCTTGAAGCAACTTACCTCCCAGAAACTGTACCCACTCTAGCTAGAATTTCTCGGGAGTCTCGGTTGTACGGTTGGAATCAGGAATCTCATTGGAAGCTGATTTTCATGGTTGTTTTTCATCAGTCATTTGCTCTAACTGGTGCAGCTCAGAGCAGCATCATTGTAATTACTCTCCATGTCTGTGTCGCCGTCAATCACAGCAGAGACCATGCTCAGCAAACTCCTCAAATGATCCCCGGTCTGATGGGCACCACCTGCATAAGGTGCATTGTTTAAATATTAGATGAGGGCGGGATGAGGGTCTGGAATGGATCGGACAAAGGTTTTAAGGTTTTATACTTTCTTTGGAGTTTGGTGGCTTTTCGCTTATTTTCAATTAACATCCATCAATCCATTTGAACTGTATTGTTAGCAGGGATGCAAGTTATCAACTAATGATGTAATCTAAAGTTGATAAAGAACTAATTGATTGGCTTCCATTTTCTTAACAACACATTTTTTTCTTGTATCAACAGGGTTCTTCCCTTATATGTAGGGCAAAGTTTTTAGAATATGTCCACATTTAAAAATAAATTCATTATATAAAAAAAACAGTTGTGCGAGCTGTATAAAATAATAAAGGGGGAAAAAACATCTTTTGATTTTCTCACATATTATTAAAACTATATATATTAACATATAGGGACGTCATCATAATAGTATAGTATGAGAACAACTTTTATTTATTATGAACCAATATAAACTTTTCATAGAAGCAGAGTGTTTCTATCAGCATGCTTATATTGGATATTTTAGATGCAGGCCCATATGTGATATAATATGTGAAACACGTCCAATCCCCCATGAACAGAGAGAGGGTATGTTGCTCTGACATGCTGTCAGACTTTACATGCCACTTGGTGTCAATAAAATGAATGGTCACTGTGATACTGTTACCATAGTTACTGATTCTGTAGTTCTCTGTTTTCAGGGAAATCTAGCAATCACTGGTGGGTGTGACACTTTGTCCTGTTAGCCCAAGCCCAAAGGGCTGCTAATAAAACTTGGCTCCAAAGGTGCATTAGTTCACATAACACTCCACAATAAACTTTGTTCATTGGTATCACGTCTTTATGGTCATTTTACAAATATTTTCTGTAATACCCTCCACTATTCTGTCCTCACATCCTCACTTCCATAGCATATTAGTGACTTTTGGATGAGAAGGTGTCACTGCTCGGCCTTACAGAGTGGGTTATTTAGGTGGTAACCTTGGGGACTCATTGAGTGTTTATATTTACAAACAGAACAGCATAAAATCCAATCTACATCTTTGTTGCTATTGAACAGTGTCAGATAATCTTGCATAGGAGTCTGTTAGAATTGAGTCACGTTTCTCTTCTTGCATGCCTCCAGCATGATTGTTTCTCTTGCAACTATCGTTGCAGCTCCGCTTAAAGATGAACAGCAGCCTCTCCAGGATAGCAGCCACACTACAACCCTGGGCTAATCTTTTATCTTTCAGATGGAACAAATTTTGGGGAGAGTATTTATTTGCATCCTTACTTGTTACTGAACTGTAGCATTCAGTGACTTACACAATGTACACATGCATATTATACCGATTTTAAAGTCGTGACTAACAGCGTCAGCGGAAACTGGTTCACACAGCTACAAATGTTTTGCAAAAATATATTTAAAATAAAATATGCTCTACAAAGAATCTTGCCTTAACTTGATTCCACAGTGGCTCTGAAATGGTCCATAGCCCCTTAATATGTGTTAGGATTTAAGCCTGCGCTGCAAAGATCAGTTAGAACAGCTGTAAAGGCAGCAATAGACATTTTAATGCCAGTGGTGGTTACTGTATAGCATTAGATCTGGTTCACTTAATCTTCTGTTGAAAATAGTAGACGCACTCTATACGGGGCAGTGCTTTTATTTTCACTCTGTGCAAACAACTACTGGCTGCAATTGGCTGTAAATTGGCTGTAAACACTCATCTGTTTGCAATAACTTGCAGTCAGTCTTTTCCAGCGCTGTGGAGAAATTCTGACTCAATCATCTTTGCATAATTCAGCAACAGGAGATGGACAGAGGTGGACTTGCTGGATCACTGTCCCATTGCTAAACTCAAGTTTGAGGTCACCCACAGATGGCTGGATGATCTCCTTCAGGACTTTTTAGTGTTAGTGTTCCATTAAACACAGCAAGTCCTCGAGGTCCTGAAGCACCAAAACATCCCCAGACCATCAAACTACCACCACCGTATTTACTGTTGATATAATGTACTTTTCCTTTACTCCATATATTATGGGACACACACCTTCCCAAAAGTCCAGGTTGTATCTTGTCGGTCCTCTGACTATTTACTAGGGATACACGATATAATCGGCCCCCTATCGGTATCGGCCTGTATTGGCCTTAAAACTGAATATCGGACATTGGCCACCCCACCGATATTTAAGCCGATATTTGATCAGCTTCTGAGTTTCTAAAGTCTAAAAAAAATAAAATAAAAATACTACTACTTCTTCCTCAAAAACTTCTTTTTTACAGACTTAAAAACTTCTAAAGACGAGGGAAAAAATATTGATACATTAAAATATCACAATATCTTCATATGCTGATATATTGCCATTTAAAAACACCATATCGATCTCTTTTACTAATGAAATATTGCTATATGTCATCATTATGCAACGAAATCCCCCGAAAATCCACAAAATGTTGCCATATTTTTATACTTTGATATATTGACACGGTATCGATCTATTTTACTAACAAAATCTCACAAGAATTTGGAAAATATCACGAGAGTTTGTAACAGAACGATGACATTTCTCAAGATTTTGAAAGTAAAATAGATCGATACCGCGTTTTTAAAAATCTATTTGATATCAGCATATGAAAATATATTTGAGTATATTATTTTTCAAAGTGTCAGAAATGGACAACAAAACTGCTATTTTCAATGACTACTTATTTTTGTCCAGCTTTAACATCGGTATCGGTTATCGGCTACATGAGTTTTAAAATATCGGCATTTCGGATATCGGCCAAAATCCCAATATCGTGCATCCATACTATTTACTGAATATTTCCTTTTCGCCCAGCAGTGGTTTTCTTCTTGCCATGCTACCATTTTGTTCCCAGCATCGATCTTAAGGTGAACGTGAGCACTGATCTTAACTGAGGCAGTGAGGAGGACTGCAGTTCTTTGGATGATCTGTAGGTTTTTTTCCCTCTTGGGTGAGTCGTCGCTGCTCTCTTTGGGTAATTTTTGTCAGTGGACCACTCTTGGGAATGTTATCCACTTTTGATATTTTTTTCTGCATTTGTGGATATTGAGTCCCACCATGGTAGGAGTTCCAAAGCTTTAGAAACTTTATAAACATTTCCAGACTGTCAGGTCGATCACAATTTTTCATTTTTCTCCTGAATGTCTTTAGATCTATGTATGATTTTTTGCTTTTGAGGATCTTTTGTTTTACTTCACTTTGGCCCCATTG